TTTTAAAAAAGTTTTACATCTGCCCACAAAAACAGTTTGTGAAATTGACTATAGTTTTATTGGTCTTTTGTTTTACAAACATAAAACAGAGGAATTCTGAATGTTTTTCCTCTCTTTCTAAAGTTTTCCTAATAATATTAAATAGATTTCTCTGTGTTGATGAATTATGCTGGTGAATTGGTTAAGTAGCTCAGATTAGGAGGAAGCAATCTGCTTCTATTATTTTCCATGCTTTTTTTATGATATATAAACATATATATCACTTTACATGCACAATATATTTAAAGCCTGCATTAATGACAATTTTAAGAATTGGATTTTAGTTTTAAATACATTTTTATAGTTCATATGCTTTTATATTTTATTTTTAGGGAAAATATAATTTAAAAAGTGGATGAGGAAATTAAAGCTCATATTTTGATTTATAACTCTCTGACACATATTTTTAAACAGGTGATGTTGGTATAGCTATATTTATATTTGGTTTATCTCTGGTTTTCATTACCTGGTATTACCTAGTGCAGTGGTTCTCAACCTTCCTAATGCCGCGACCCTTTAATACAGTTCCTCATGTTGTGGTGACCCCCAATTTCATTGTTACAAATTGAACATAATTAAAGCATAGTGATTAATCACAAAAACAATATGTAATTATATATGTGTTTTCCAATGGTCTTAGGCGACCCCTGTGAAAGAGTCGTTCAACCCCCAAAGGGGTTGCCACCCACGGGTTGAGAACCGCTGACCTAGTGGATTTTATGGAAGACCTTCAGACACTAATAGAAAACGAAGATCATTTGCATCCCAACCTCATACCTATGACTGATAACATTAGAAAACCTAATAAGAATCGTGGCTCCAGATTTTTATCAGTATCTTAACTGAGTCTATTTAAATATTTATGAGAAATACATTAGTACAGCGGTTCTCAACCTGTGGGTCGTGACCCCTTTGGCGGTCAAACGACCCTTTCACAGGGGTCGCCTAAGACCATCCTGCATATCAGATATTTACATTACGATTCATAACAGTAGCAACATTACAGTTATGAAGTAGCAACGAAAATAATTTTATGGTTGGATCACAACATGAGGAACTGTATTTAAAGGGTCAGAGGTTGAGAACCACTGCATTAGTACCTATTTTCTCTGACTAAAAAATTAATGAAAAATTCTGTCAGAACCCCATCCTCAGAGTAGCACAGTATAAGTTTAAATCATATCCTTTGAAAGTTTTAATAGTAGAGTTAGTGCGTATTCAAATTCCTTTGAATTTTAATAAATAAGCTGTCAGTGAGATGGCTGATTTCAAGAAAAACCCAAGTACTGACAGGTTTGGATTTGTTAGACAGTATAGGGAGAAGCTGCTTTACAGTGTGCCCTGGGCCAGAATGCTTTGCAAATAAGTAGATACCTTTTCAAAAATTTTCATCAGAGTTGCCTTTAAATTAATGCTTCCGTATACTGGAGCAAGACCACCTAGTATGTCAAGTTAAAGTGGTGTTCATCCTAAGTTTAGATGCAGGGTGGTTTTTTGTTTTTGTTTTTCATAATATCCCATTGGTACCTGTGATATATTTTTCCTGATTGACCACCATGTAACACATTTTATATTTAAAGGGCAATATTTTATTATAACTCTCTTCAGCAACAACTATTTTTTAATATATTTTTATTGATTTCAGAGAGGAAGGGAGAGGAAGAAAGAGATAGAAACATTAATGATGAGAGAGAATCATTGATCGGCTGCCTCCTGCACACCCCCCACTGGGGATGGAGCCCACAACCCAGGCATGTGCCCTTGACCGGAATCAAACCTGGGACCCTTCAGTCCGCAGGCCAACACTATCCACTGAGCCAAACCAGCTAGGGCCAGCAATGACTTTTTATTCTGTTATACCCTTGGCTGGCCATTCAGTGCGAAAAAGTTCTGCAAGCAGTGCTTTTGGCCAACTGAAGGATCTGGCACCAGGAGACTTCTCTCACTAAAGGGAGCAAATGAAAAGAATACTGTTTGGTGTTCTCGGTTTGATTTTTTTATCACTAGCCTTCAGTGTGGAAACAAATACGTAGTTACTAAAGGAATATTTGGTACGGTTTAAACTGTAGTTAAATTATGTCAGTCCAGTAAGGGAAAACTTTATAAAAGTATGCTTGTGATATTTGTATTGATTTCAGAGAGGAAGGGAGAGGGCGAGAGAGATAGAAACATCAATGATGGGAGAGAATCATTGATTGGCTGCCTCCTGCATACCCCACACTGGGGGATGGAACCCGCAACCCAGGCATGTGCCCTGACCGGGAATTGAACCATGACCTCCTCGTTCATAGGTTGATGCTCAACCACTGAGCCATGCCAGCCGGCAAAGTATGCTTGTCATTTAATATGCTGTGCATCATATTGTTTTCAACTCTTTCTTATTTCGCTGTTGTTTTTTCTTCCAGGAGAAAACTTTGCAGAATTCAGATCTGCAGGGACTGATGATGGTTTCACCGATTTTAAAACTGCCGGTAGTATTTCACCCCTAGAGCCACCAACAAAAGACAAAACTTTTCCAGCAGCCTTCCCCTCAGGAGCTATACAACAGAAACAACAAACTCAAGTGAAAAATCCTCTGAACTTAGCAGACTTAGATATGTTTTCCTCAGTTACTTGCAGCAGCGAGAAACCATTGTCTTTTTCAGCCACATTTAGTACATCAAAATCTGTTTCTACACGACCACAGGCAGGACCTGCTGCAGCCACAGCAGCATTGGCATCAACTAAATCTTGTAGTTTGGCTGATGATTTTGGAGAATTCAACCTTTTTGGGGAATATTCTAGTCCAGCATCTGTTGGGGAGCAGGATGACTTTGCAGATTTTATGGCTTTCAGTAATAGCTCTGTTTCATCTGAGCAAAAGACAGATGACAAATATGATGCCCTCAAAGAGGAAGTTAATCCTGTTCCTCTGACCAGCAGCTCGAGCAACACAGTGAAGAGTGGACAGAACTCTGCTGCTGCGTCTACCAAATATGATGTCTTCAAACAGCTTTCTCTGGAAGGATCTGGACTAGGTGACGAACTGAGAGATAACCCTCCTTCAGGAAAAAGTGATGATGATTTTGCCGACTTCCACTCCAATAAATTTTCTTCCATGAACTCAGACAAATCCCTGGGGGAGAAAGCAGTGGCTTTCAGACACACCAAAGAAGACTCTGCGTCAGTGAAGTCCTTGGATCTCCCTTCCATTGGTGGCAGCAGTGTTGGCAAGGAGGACTCTGAAGATGCACTCTCTGTTCAGTTTGACATGAAACTGGCTGATGTGGGAGGAGATCTTAAGCATGTCATGTCTGATAGCTCTTTGGATTTACCAACAGTTAGTGGCCAGCATCCTCCTGCTGCAGGTGAGGAATTGGTGAGATTGCTCTGGTGATGGTGATGTAGATTTCAAAGATGGTTCTGTGGGTGTTGATTTACAGACAGTAAGTCTCTGGCTCTTAATCTTTATGAATTACTAATAACCTCTTAGTTACCAGTCCCCATAAGCAATGTTAAATTTGAATCTAGGGATACTTGGGTATAATGGATACCCTGAATACTATGGAACTTAGATTGGATAAATACTTTTATTTTTGAAATCTAACACCAACTTGGTGTTAGTGGCACATAAAAATCCACTGCTAAATGAACCCACATTGCCAAAAGTTTTTGTAGAAATTTTTGCAGTGCCAGTAATGTTCCTCTATTTCTGTGAGTGAGGCCAGTGTTTCCCTCTCCTTTTTTCTTCTCTTGGGTATATGTCATTGTTTTTTCAAATAGGTTTTCAATTTCTTGTTCACAGAAACTGACTCTTGTTAGGTCAATAAAGTAAGAATGTGTAGCCAGTTGTAGTTTGCCAGGTCCCTACAAGAGAAGAAGAGGGAAAGTGCTTGTGTATGGATGTCCTGTGTGCCAGGGTCTGGCAAAGAGGAGGGCGTGAGTTAGTGGATTTCAGGTACAGTTTTCAGTGTTAAACTTTATTATTGGAAGTATTAAATTGTAACAGGTCTGTAGATGATAGAATAGGGTAACCTCTCACTTTCTCATAAAATGTTTGAGAATATCTTAAGGGAGCCCTCTTAAAATTCTATATGAATTTACATGTAGCAGTTTATTCTCTAGCTTAACTTCTTGTCATAAAAACTAGATTCCCAAGTGTCCTAGTTTTTATTTTGTTTTGTTATTTGATACATATAGAAAGATAAACCTATTTTGTGGCCTTTAATAATGAGAGATATCTCAGTATTACTGTATTCTAGAAAATTTATTATGCATATGAAAGGTTCATTGTTGTTGTTTTTTAACTAGAGAGGAACACGTAACAGACTTCCAAGTTTACAGATCCAGGCAGAAATTGTAAAGTATTAATGACTTTTGCAATCAGAAAACAAAATTGCCTCTGTCCTTTGGCTGTTGAAATGAAGGTATCCTTAAACAGGGTGCTGAGGCAGGAGCAAGTTTTCAGAGATGTTGTGTGTTTCACGTTGCTACTTGCCAGGGTATTTTCCAAGTGCAGTGGGCTGTCTGTCCTCAGACTCCTTGTGCCCCTGACTGTCTACTTCCTTTTTTTGTACTTTTCCTCAGATGGTTTCCTATATATATATTTTTTTTGCTACTGTTTGTTTGATACAGTGAATTTGTTTCTCTTTTTTGTATGAGCTGCTTGAGCCACAGCAGTTGATTGCAAAGTGCTCCATTTTCTGAACAACAGTATTTGATTTTTATTTAAAAAATCTCATAACAAGTAAACTAGCCTTCTGGACTCTGGAATTATTAATTAGAAGCTATTTTTCTGAAAGTGAATCTATATTCTTTCACAGTGCCAAGCTAAATGTCTTTATGAGATGAGTCTAATCTGGGTTTAGGGTGTCGTTTTTTTTCTCCCATTTTATTTGGGGAGGGGAGGCTGTTTTTCTTCTTCCTTGTTCTGATTGACCTGTTAAAATAATATTCTGTGCTCATATTCTTTTATGTATGTTTGGAACATTCCCAGCTTGGAACCTGTAATGTTCAAGCCAAGTCTCTTCAGTTTGAGATATTCTTAAAAGCAGATTGTTCCCTCCTTTGGATCTGTAAACCTGTCAGAAAGAAGCAGTATCCCTTTAGAGCGGTTGTTAAAAGGGGTTGATGTCTGACTAATGCACTATATTGTTGTTGAGCAAAATTGCTGCATAAATGTATTGCGGAGGGTACATGACAGGGACTTCTTCGGTTTTCATGTTGACCACAGTATCTCTTGCTCTCTTAGTTTGAGGGTTAAAGGTACTTCTTGTTGGAGAAATTAGAAGTGTGCTGATGAAGAGAGAATAAAATGTAGTAGACCGCTATCTCTAGACCTTAATCCTATTTAGAAACCCTAACTTAACTCTGAAGGGGATACTGTCTCTTTTAACTCTTGCTATAATTCTTTGTATGGAAGGTAGATAATGCTAATAACATTGCCTGATTTCTCTGCATATTATTACATTTAACCCTTTGAGCCCTTGCTGCATATAATTTCAACTAGGCTGCTTTTGTCCGCCCACTAAATTTAATCTCTCTGGCACTGAAGCATCTTTACATGCAGTCATTAAGATCATCTGGTTTTGTTGGCAGCAAGAGCTTACCTTCATTTGTGACACTCAAAGGGTTAGCAAGACTTCTGTAGCTACCTACCTACCTACCTACCTGTAAAGTAACTCTTCTTTGTCATTAAAAATCTTTGTATTTTAATCAGCGCCTTTTTTTTTCTTTTTTCTTTTTTGGGCTGCTTTTCTGATGTCTTTTTTTTATAGACATTTTCTGTGTGAATGTGCCTTTTTGAACTTGCTTTGGTATATTCCTCTGCAAATACTGATCTGCATGCTTATTCTGATGACTTATTTTCCAGCTCTCTGTACCACTCTCTTTTGTGATCTGTAAGTCCTATGTTAATAAATAATTCTTTGGCATATTTTGAAAGTGTGGGGATGTGTGTAATTTGTACTTTTTCAGGGTTAGACCAAAAAAATCTCTGGTCCAAATCAAGTTTAAAGCAATAGCATCTCCTGTGATTAGAGGGTTTTCCCTTTTGTTTGTTTTGTTTCCTCAAACACCTTTCTCCTAGAAAAGTATTGGTGCATTTTAGCTTTTTCCCTTATAATTCCATTGATAAAAGTTTTTAACATCTCACTGGATTAAAATATAACTTTAAATATTTTTTAAAGTGTAAACTGAACACAATTTTAGACATTAGGAAATTTACTTCTTTTAGTGAAGAAACAGTAGATTTTATTGCTTAGTAAAGATCACAGAGCCTTTCTCCAGTAGGAGTTCCATTGTGAGGAGAGGGGAAGGTGAGGGGCCAGAGGAAAAGGACACATTGTCAGTAAATTTAATTTAAAATAAATTATCAAATGGTGTTGAGATGGACTTCTGAGCACAGTAAATGTAAGTTTAATTTAAATTGATAATCTGTGTACTGGAAAGTGTTCAGTGTTAATACCAGGACTGATTTGATTTGAGTTGAAATTGGGTACTTCACCCTCTAATTGTACTTTATCTTTCCAGCTTCAGAATGTATTGTGAAGCCGCTCTCGGTTGTTTTTTACTTAGTCCATAAAACGACTTTAGAGGATGCCTCAAAGTAGACCAAACATTTTCATTTTTAAGAAAAGAATTCTAGAAAGACCCACAAAAATAACAAGAACAGGCCAAATGTGGAAAATATTTTTTTCATTTTATTTACTTATTTGTTTGTTTATTTCCCCTGGCTTAGGATCAAACCTGCAACCTTGGCACAACAGGATGACACTCCAACCTACTGAGCCACCCAGCCAGGGCTCCCACCCTCACCCCCCATTTTAGAGTATAATAATAGTAAAAAATCTTGAGAATATTATTGTTTTCAGATAAAAAAATAAACGCCCCAAGATCAATAAAAACCTTGGGCAAAAGGGGTTGTTTCTATGGTTTAACTTTTTTTCTTACAATTTGAGGCTTTAGTTCTTCGTTATATTTTAAAATTGAGGCAGAAAGGAAATTAAACCATTGAAAATAAGGATTTTTATTAGAATTCTTAACAGATCACTTATACTATCTGAAGTATGCCATTTGAGAAGGAAAAAAGTTGCATATTGGGTTTTAGATTAACTCTAAGATAAGCTGGGTTTGCCATTTAAAATATTGTGTATTCCAGGGCATAATGCTTTAGACCAGTGGTTCTCAACCTGTGGGTCGCGACCCCTTTGGCGGTCAAACGACCCTTTCACAGGGGTCGCCTAAGACCATCCTGCATATCAGATATTTACATTACGATTCATAACAGTAGCAACATTACAGTTATGAAGTAGCAACGAAAATAATTTTATGGTTGGGTCACAACATGAGGAACTGTATTTAAAGGGCCAGAAGGTTGAGAACCACTGATCTAAAGTGATAATACCAGGTGCCCTTTAGGGTTTCCTGGCGCCATAGATAAGACCAGTCTTGTGGTAGCTTTGGCTAAGATTTTCCTTTGTCAATGGAATTATCTAATGCTAGATTGGTCCACCTGAGACTTTTATTTTAAATCCTTTCTGCATTTATCTAAGCAGGCTGGAGAAAATGACTGAATATAATTGTGTGTAAAACAGTCGCATTCACAAATTAAACAATGTGTTCAGAGTAACATTTACTTATAGGGAGAAGTTTTAATAATGTAATATTATGAACTTGCAATAAAGAGTTAAAGAACTCTGTGCTACAGATTTAAACAGGCAAACAAAAAATCATTTTGTTTATTCCAATACCAAGTTAAGTAAGACGTGGCTAGTGCTTGACTTCATACATCAGTGCCTGAGAAATTATACAAATGTATTTATATTCTACAATCACTCTATTGTTCACATTAAAATCGCTGCTGATTTTTAAAAGTAGCAAATGAACATGTAGAAGACACTGGCAATATCAAAGAAGCTGGGCTAAATCTTAAAATAACTCAAAGAATCAAATTATTTTTAAAGAGCTGCTTGTAGCTTTGGTTTTCCATCAATTGAATACTTTTGATAAGTTGTTTTGGAAGGAAAATGCTGGCCCATGAGTCAGTACAAAAGAATGGGAGGTTTCTGTGCTGATTGGAAAACACTGGAAGGCAATTACACAGCAGCTTTTCCTGTTTTCCTCAATAACACCTATCAGGGTGTTTGAGACTTAATAGGATATAGTCAGACCAGGTTTTAGAATTAATAGAGAATGTGAATATGACTGATCTCAGGAGAGAAAAGGGCCAGGGTGGGAAGAAGTTGAAATGTATAAATGTTTCATGGTTTGCTTTGGTAAATGAAATTTGCATTAAATCAGTATTGGAAATTAAAAGATATTTAAGTTTTTCAAAGGACTTCCTGAGTCCATTGAATATTTTTATTGCTATATAAAATACTAGGGAATGGTAGAATTCACACATGTATCTCCTTTCTTCTTTTCCAAACCCCTTTCTCAAAAGCCGGTAACTCTTATTAATCGCCTGGGGGTATGCTTACAGCTTTAGAAAATGGGAATTGGTATGGCCTTCTGTCTGTGTCCTGTAGTGGCAGCTCACATTCTTTGTTCCAAGAAATGCCTTGTTTTCATGTGTAACATTGGTTTAGAAGGGATTTCAATGGAGGTTATAGAAGACTGATAGGATTACTTACTAGCCTAAGCAAGAAATCCATGTCATGATTTGAGATACAGGATGAAAGGCAGATTGTATAGTTTATTCCTTTGGCCTTTGTAATAGGACATTCCTGGTTGCAAACAATTACATGTATTAAAGCACACAGTTTGGCCTATTATCTGTGTGCAATTGCAGTTCAACCTAGCACAGCGTCAGAGTTCTTCAGTAGAATTGGAAATGTAGTAGTGATTCTCTGTACATTTTATTGCATCCATTCTGTTTTCTTTTTCTCTTGCAATGTTTACTAGTAGAATTCAGCTATCAAATTGAAAACCCATCTGTAGCAACTTTGGTGATTACAAATTAAACTGTGGGTTATTTCATATTATTTTTCCAAATAGAGCTTCCATCACTTATGTTCTAGGTCTTAAAGAATCTTTAATATTTTTAAGGCCATCATACAAATAGAATTTTACTGCTTAGAAAGTGTAGAACTATTAACATGGGAAATAAGGAATTTTCCTGATTTACCTATTTTCTTAGAAAATTACTAATATTCATTATGTTGTTTTTATGTTGTTTATAAATGCTAAGGTTTAGGAATACAGTGTTTTCACATTCCTATGAAATATCAGTTTTAGTACTTCCTTATACAGTGTGCAAATGAATTGCACTTCAGTAAATGATTTTTTTATACTATAGGCAAAAGAAAATTTAAAAGTCAACCTCAAGGCTTGATTTTAGTATATTTACTCTTCCTTTTTTTTTTTAAGTATAAAATATAAGATTTGTTAAAGACTGGTAGTATTTTAAAAATACTTTTTTTCAGCTAAAGTAATCCCTGTTCTCGTAATTCCTTTTACATGATTATACTACAATCATTTCTGTTTTAAAAAACAAACACCTTGTTGCATAATTGCACAAAAGGGTATTTTTATTGCCTTGGAAACTTGATTGTGATGTTTGAACTAGAGCTTAACTTTTCACTAAATTTATCTTTGGTCTCTAGAAAAATTGCTACTCTTTTAATAGATGAGATTCTAGGAGCAGTTCATAATATAGCTTCCCCAAAGAGCTTTCTGGTAGGGTCTAATAATAAAAATATCTGTATTGTGAAACATTCTTCTGAATGTACCCCTGGAAGACAAGTCTTGTGTTAACTTCATCTGCCTCCTGATTGAATTTCACCTTGTTTGAATCAGGGTACCTTCTAGTCCAGTGGTTCTCAACCTTGGCTGCACGTTAGAATCACCTGGGAATCTTTTTAAAATCCTGACTTCTGGGCCTCATCCTCCGGAAATTCTGTTTCTTTGTTATGGGGTGGGGCCACAACATTAGTAACAAAGAAACAGAATTTCTGGAGAATGAGGCCCAGAAATCAGGATTTTAAAAAGATTCCCAGGTGATTCTAATGTGCAGCCAAGGTTGAGAACCACTGTTCTAGTCCCTTAGTGGGGAAAACAGAACACTACTCAGCCAGAGACTAAGAAATAAGAAAGCATTTTGTCTAAAGTCTCTTTCATTCATTCACCTGAATCTTTTTTTCTCCTGTTTAATAAGCCAAATTTGAAAAATACCACGTACATACAGAATTTTAAAATACACTGTTGTTTTGGGAATGTTATATGCTTTTTACTGGTTGGCCTTTTTATACACCTAGGGTGTTTCATTTTTGTTTTTAATTTAGTACCCTTTCCTAATACAGTTTAAAGAGACAGATGTGGGGTATACTGTTAGAAGAGCTATGGAAATGTCAGGAGTCCCTTAACTCAAACTGTGCCGTGTTGCTGGGAAACAAAGACAAAATAACCCAGTGTGGGTTCACCTCCTGACTTAGTTATGAAAATCTGAGTCACAAAACTTTTGAGCATTTTCTTTTAATTTTTTTTTTTAATCCTCACTCAAGGATATTTTTTTCCACTGATTTTTAGAGAGGGTGGAAGAGAGAGGGAGAGACAGAAAGAAATATCTATGTGAGGGAAACACATGGATTGGTTGCCTCCTGCACGTGCCCTGACCAGGGCCCAGGCTAGGGAGGAGCCTGCAACCAAGATACATGCCCTTGATCGGAATTGAATCCAGGACCCTTTGGTCCGCAGGCCGATGCTCTATCCACTGAGCAAAACGGGCCAGGGCTTGAGCATTTTCTTTGTAAACCATGTTTGGGTTGTCGGAGAGGAGTGTTGCGTGTGGCCTTCTGGCCTTGTAGAGAGTGACTAAAATGAAACTAAACATGTTAGCCAGACTGGACTGTGCTGCTGAAAGGTCGCTAGCTTCTCCACCTGCTGTCGTGTACGTGTTATTCAGCCTTGGCTGGTTTTGATTTTTGAATATGGACAAGAAAGTTTCCCTAGTAAGACCACTAAAATGATGAGTAGACATTTCATTTTTACTTTGAAATAATTTCATTTTAGGCCCTAAAGTAGCAACTAAATGTCAAATTGAGGCTGGTGGCCACTGTGCTGTACAAATACTGCTATTTTGTATTGCCTACCAGGCCCTGGCTCCTTTACACACATTATCGTTAATTGTCACAACACATCTCTTCCAATGTCCATGGTATTTTCATCTTACAGATAACAAACCAAGGTTAAAAAATGTGAAATAGCTTGCCTAGTGTCACATACGTCATAGGTGGCAGGGCTGGAAGTTGAACCCAGGTCTGTCTAAATTAAGAACCTACATTCTCTTTGCTGTTTTATGCTACCACTTAAATTACTAAAACATATACTACGAATCTAAAATAAGTCTTTTGCCCCAGCATTTCTTTCTTTTTCTCTTCTTCTTCTTCTTATTTTTTTTATGGGGGGTGAACATAGTTGAAGGAGAAACAGGAGCACAACAGGACCCAGACCTTTGCCTCTGTTTTTTAGGGACTAATGTAGATCAGGTTGATTTTTCTTTCCTCATACGCCATCACAGCAGTAGGACGCCCATGTTGACCAAAATAACAGCTAGGTAAGTAACTGCTTAATTGAAATCTCATATTTGGCCTGGCTTGAGACAGAAACTCCTAATAATTGATTAAAAGTTAAGTAACATTATTTTCATTCTAGTTTTGAGAAATTGTCAATTTTTAGTTTGTCATGTACATTTCATATGTCCATGTTTTAAAGGAACGTTTTTTCAACGAAGTCAAGGCAAAAGAGGCATGCTTTAAGCAGGGAATATTGTAAATACATCTTAAAGTTTATAAATGAACTATTTATGAAATAGCCCTATTCTCATATGAAATAGTATATACATTGGTAGATGAACCTATCTTTTTTTTTAGTAGTTTTTATATCCAAAGAAAACTTCTCCTTGTAACTAAATATAAATGACGAGTCAAGGCTAACGTGGGTTTTTAAAGATCAGATTTTACAGCTCAACTCCTTTAATTTTAGTACAAACTCTAAATTTAGTTAACTCCAGTATAGCATAAAACTAATCAGATATGCTAGACATTTTGCTTCTGCAGAGTTTAGGGCATTTTGCCTAAATCGTGAGCTTGCCTCTAATTGTGGGGTCTTATTTCCCTTTCAGATATAGAGGACTTAAAATATGCTGCTTTTGGAACCTACAGTAGCAATTTTGCAGTGAGCACACTTACGAGCTATGACTGGTCAGACAGGGATGATGCATCTCAGGGCAGAAAACTCTCTCCATTTGTCCTCTCAGCAGGAAGCAGATCCTCCTCAGCTGCCTCAGTTCTACAAAAGAAAGAGACTTCATTTGGCAGTTCCGAAAACATCACCATGACATCTCTGTCCAAAGTCACGACCTTCGGAAGTGAAGATGCTCTTCCAGAGGACTCCCTTCCCGGCTTTTGC